AAGTGATAGAAATCATGGCTAGAGACAAACAAGAGATAATAAAATATATGGCTCATTTTCTTTTTTCCCCGTTCTCTCAGCACCTTCAATTATTGGCTTTCTTACCTCATCAACGCTCGCGTTAGAAGTCTTTGTGAGATTTGCTTCTTTCAAAATTATGCAAGGTATCAAGTATTTTAGATAGAGTTTATAAATTTGCTTCATGAATAGAAAAAATTCAATTTAACCAACTTTAAGAATTTATTCTTTTTCCAGCTTACCGGTAATTCTTAATGCATTTCCCCTAATGATCCTGGGATTCGGCAAAATGGTTGTCGAGAAAGAATTATCTTTGGCATGGGACTTTGTGCTGCACGACCCAAATTTTCCAGGACAAAAGAAACGATCTTGAATTTTGACAGAAATTTTACTTCTGAAAAAATCCGGGGAGCTTTTTAAGTAAGAACCAACATATCACATGACAAAATGATATTCACTCAAGAGCATAATTCTTACCGCAAAGCTCCTTTGCAACCTCAAACCGAAATTTTACAGCGTTAGGCTTATAGGCGCGTAAGAATTTTACAAAAAAAATTTCTACTGAGTCTGTAACATCCACTACACATTAGTGATTATTACTAGAGTTTAGTTCCATTCACGGTGAAAAATTGATTTGACTAAGCTATGCCAATGCCTAGTGTAATTTTGAAGAAAAAATTACCAAAGGATTTCAAAAATTTTAGGTGTCATTTAATCATAATTGTAGTTATCTTTTAAAAAAGTTCGTGAATTCCAGTAAAACACCTATTCCGCAATAAGCATGAAAACTCGCTTCTAATAATAACAGAAACTCAAACCAGCCATATTAAATCATTTCCGCTGCACCATGTAAACATCACCCCTTTTCTCATTGAAAGAGTGTAGGGCGGCTGTTCAATGAAAGTTAGCATTAGTCAAGCAGATCGTGGGCAAAATTAGCCGTTACTAGTTCTTTTAAGCTTTTTTTAATTTTCAGTTCAATACATTTTACATTTTCATGTTCCATTTCACAGCGAGTCATAGCATGTATTGTTATTAGGTTCTATT